TTATTTTACAGTTAAAATATATGTTTATCATATAAAGTCTAATGTTACAACTAGTCGGGGATCCCTTTAAAAAAAATCTGTTCAGTGTTTCATACATAGACTATATTAGTAAAAATATCATTCTACCTTCACCTTAATTTTAAAAGGGAGGGTATTGTGTATTTTCCTTCAGAACATTTTCAAACACTGCTTTGGGGAAGGTTTTGATCAGGGAATAATATTATAACACGATATAAAGCTCTAAAAGTTTTTTTTTCACATAATACTTGCCCCCAACCACGCACAGCCCTTTAAGTGTTCAAACCAAAGTTGATTTTTGTTGTTCAGATTACGGCAAAATCTCAGGCAGAAAGAAGAGCCATACTTGTATCCGATGTCGTCTCCAGGTTTGTAGAACCAGTGAGGTTGTTCCCAGCCAGCATGGAAACCCATGGAGCATTTGTCCTTCAGCAGCTCGTACACACCACTTGTCCTGGAGGTTGGTCGACCAGCAAAACGCTCCTCTTTTGGGTAACCAACTGAAGAGACCGTGATGAGATTTAGTGATAGGTCCATCATGATGCTTTTCTCCACTAAGCAGTACTAACAGCCTCTTCTTACCCACGTTGTTGAAGCCATATGATTCTCTAGCTTTGGAACACATGAAAGGGACATCAGCCCATTTGCCATATCGGTTAGGGTCACATTCAATCAGGTCGTAAGGAGGTTCTCCATTCCTAATCCAGTCGCTGAGGAACTTACCGATCCCTCCAGCATGGATCACGCCATACCTGATCACATAATAACCAATCATGAATCAGTATGAATCACAATAATTCAGGATCCATATCTCAAACATTAGGATCTCTGGGGCATGAATGAAGCATGCGTTATGTTGCCAAGTGTTCATAAGTACATTATCTCCAACAGATATTACAGGTTCTTGTTAAAAACATATTACCTAAGGAATAGGCACAACTTCAGAACCAATCATGTTTTATAGCCCCTAAAATGGGGTGCCGTTTGTAAAGTTACACAGTCAAAAATGACCACCAGTATTTTTGTTTTATTTATCCTTTTATATGAAAAAAAGAACAGATATATATTTCAAAGTCAGTTTTTCACCATATGATTTATACATTTATAAATGTCATAGTTTATAAACTAAATATTTAACTTACAAATTAAATATTTAGTTAACAAGCTAAATATTTAACTTACAAATTAAATATTGAGTTTATAAACTAAATATTTAACTTACAAATTAAATATTTAGTTAACAAGCTAAATATTTAACTTGTGACTTAAATATTTAGTTTTGAGCTTTGAGCTAGCAAGTTAAATATTTAGGTAGCTAGCTAAATATTTAACTTAAATATTTAGGTAGCTACTTAAATATTTAACCAGCAAGTTAAATATTTAGGTAGCTAGCTAAATATTTAAGTTGCTAGCTAAATATTTAGCTCAAAACTAAATATTTAAGTCACAATTAAATATTCAGTTCAAAAACTATGACATTTATAAATGTATGAATCGGTGAAAAACTGAATTTGAAAAATAAATCTGTTCTTTTTTCTTTTAAAAGGCAAAATAAAACAAAAATATTGGTGGTAATTTTTGACGGTGTAACTTTACAAACGGCACCCCGTACCCTAAAGCACATGTCAAACTCAAGCCGAGCACCAACAGCAAAGGCTGTGTTCCATTCCAAAATACCTAAATGTGAACTTCAACATTTGACTTTAACATTTAAGGTTTAACATTTACATTTAGATTTAGGATTTAATATATATAATATATTTTTTTAACATTTAAATCTAACATTTAGTAAAAATTAGCTAAATGTAAGAACAGAGAGCTGAATAACAATAAAATGTTAGTGGAAAAATTTAACCCTCAATAATAGAGATAAAAAGTGAAAAATATGTTAGTGAATATTTCTTTTGCTTTTCATTTTACATACTGGCGCCCCATAGGTGGCCACCATGTGGCCCTTGGTAAAAATTGGTTTGACACCCCTAAAACCTGCATTAATATAAACTATTCTTTTATAAGAGTTGTAACTGGACTCATAAGTTGTAAAGAAACTGTCACTGTTTATCACCACAAAAGAAATAAATTGTGGTGATTCTTGATCAAGTTATGCATTTATACAAACTATTCTTCCTCTCACATTGAGCTAATTCATATCGTTCACTCTCTCCTCCACTAACAGGACCCTTGGGAGTGATTTTAAACAGAACATTGAAGTTTGAGAAAAGTGTTTTAATCAGTTACATGTCAAAATCCCAAAATTTAAATTCCTCCAAAAGACCTTGAAACTACATCACCACTAGATTGATCACAAGTAATTTTCTACATGTTGACCTTGAACTGTTAATGCACTTTTATGTTTGTTTGGACACTGATTTTTTGGTTTTGGTGTTGTTTGAGGTTCTGACCGGTCGGTCTCTGAGTTTTGGCTTGGTTTCCTGTGTCTCTCAGTAGTCTGTCCTCTAGTTTAGTTCTGACCTACCACCCTCACCTGCACCCCATCCTAGTTTTCTCTGCACAAGGTGGTGGGTATTTTGGGGTAACGGTCTCTATATTCTCCTGTGATTTTAATATTTTTTTGTTCCTCAGTTTGGCATTATACTCTTTATGTGTCAGTCCTGGTGCTGTATGCCTGTGTCTGTTCACCACGGGTTCTGTTCTGAGTTTTGCTGCCTGGACAGCATTTTGATTTCATAATTATATGTTCATTTTAAAAAAAAAAAAATACATGTCTGTGGGAAGGTTTTGTCTGAACTTAGGGTTGAAAATCTTAGAACTTATTGAATAAGGTAATGAATGTTTAATTTTCATTTCACTCTACAACAGTACATTTGATTGTGACTCCCAAGTGATCCCTGATGTCAAGATGAGATTTATGTCCAAGTTTCTTGACTGTTACAACTCTAAAAATGTCTGAGATCTTCCACCTCTGAGGGCTAAATTTAAGCATTGAGGGACTGGGGTTTGTGAAGTGGAAGTCCCCAGACTCTGAAACAACTTGGCCTTTGATTTTTATACTGCAGTCTTGTTTTCAGTCCTGGTCCTCCACATTAAATCAGGTGTGTTGGAGCAGAGAAACAAATAAAACAGGCAGGATAGAGGCCCTCAAGGACCAGGGGTCAGATTTATAAAGGAGAGCATGGAAACCATACTAAAAGTGAACGTACGGCCAAAAGGCAGAAATGGCATACGCCAAAAAAAAATTCAGATTTATAAAACCGTGCGTACGCATGTTTCTGCTCATCTTTCCTTTATAAATCACAGCCGCACGTCAGAGTTTGCGCACAAGGTACCGCCTCAGATTCTACCCTCTACATGCCCACATTCAACCATAAAC